CAAATAGGCGAAGCATGAGGGTGGAGAGTAATTAAAGGGTAAACAGAGAGGTATGACAGTATGAGGATTAGCCAAGCTGCTGTTTAAACTGCAAGTGCGCCTGGAAAGAGGCTCAGCAAAAAAAAAAAAGAGAAAATAAGCTCTGCGGATCGTTCATAAATCTTAAAGAAGTATTCTGATTAAAATGCAAGAGACCAGTTCCATTTTTTTAATATCCTCATTTATGCTTTTTTAATTATGAAAGTGTTGCATAAGAGTTGGTGTTGAGCAAGCATCATAACACATGCTTATGTGATTCTCACAAGTAGGACAAACATTGGTTAGAATGAGTGAACATATTTTTTCTTATGTAACAGAATGCACAGTGATGAATTTACATTAATTCACAAAGAAATATAAACATTTTGACACCTCATTTGGCAGAYAAAAAACACTTTTATTTAAAGTTGTTTTTCGACAACCTCGGGCTGACCCATCCTTGATTATTACACAGGAAAGGTTGTTGCCCGTCGTGCAAAGAAACCATCTGGAGAGGAATCAAACACAGAGATGTGAAACACCCAAAACATCTGAGCGAGGAAACAAACCCCCGCACCTCAGATACTGCTGCAGATATCGCTTGTAGGATAAGCCATGTTTCATCCAGCAGCTTGAACTTTGCCCCCAGCGGGACCTTCAGCGTTCCTATAAACCATCACATGGGAAATTAGAAACAATCACTTTCCTGCGAGAATAATAGGAGAGAGAAAATCAACAAGGTGTCATCTGGTGCAGTGAGGAAACCTAACAATGAGGTTTGGAGGAACTCCCCGAAGAGCTGAAGGAGACTGGCTGCCAGGCTTCAGGCCTGGAGGAGTCAAGGGTGGTGCAAGATGTGTGTGTGTGACACAACACAGAAAGAGCTGTGAGTGCGCTTGTTAGTGTTTGAATTACAACTCATAAATCTAGAAAAGTCACACAAACTAAAACCTACATAATAAACACAAACTAAAAATGCATGCACTCTCCTCACAGAACAGTTGATTGTCTCCTCTCAGAGCAAACTTCAGATCATGTTGATAAACATTGTTTAAAAAAATCAGAGTTTTCCATTAGAAAAAAAAAGGCGGTTAATTTGCTGTTCTTTATGTACAAGGCCTCTGCAGCATTTCACTGGCAAGCAGTGGCGGCTGGTCGATTTAAGGTCAAATAAAATTGCAAAAGTTGAACTAGAAATTTGCTTTTGGATTTTTTTCCTACATGTGGGATGCAGATGCTTTGCTCTTCTCTACCTTGTAAGTCCAGTGTTCGTGTAAACTGTGCCAACCCTTTGAATGCCTGCACCAGTGTTCGTCATGCGGGGTGAAGGGCAGGTCAAAGGCGCGTGCACACACACCCAGGTATCCTGTTGTTCTGGGCAGGAAAGTCCATTCTATAGGAACGAAAGGTTAAGCCAACCTTTGATTTATTCTGCTTTTGTAACGTTCTGCCCATCAGTGATGCCCGGTCACCTTTCACTTTTCCTTTTTTTTTTACCCCCTTTAATCATGAGTCAACGCTGATGGCAAATCAGTCTGGCGTTTTGTAATTTCTCTGTCACGCAAGAAAATCTGAGAATAATTCAAGTCTGCAAATGGGATATGAAAATGAAAGTTCAGTCTTGGTTTGTACCTTATATAACAAAAGTCAAATCTGTCAACACTGTAGAACTTGTCCTTATTTAGCCTGAGAAGGCTTTTTGGTCAAATTGACGAACCTAGTTGTGCCACATCCATTTAACAACGAGGCCTGCTGGTTGTGACCTTTTCTCCCAGGCTGACACAGTAAGTCCCCCCCCCCCCCACACACACACACACACACACACCCACTCCCCATCCGTACCGGGGCCCTGTGTCCAGCTTGTGTTCACAAACAGAGGCTGCTCATTCACTCAGGTCCTGAGGAGACCAAATCAAATTACCAACACATATCTCCCACAATCTACTGCGACAGGATCACCCTCCAGGCAGGGCTGAAATGGATACAGCAATATATAACAGAGAGAGGGAGAGAGAGGGAGGATGGAGGAGGCCTAAGAGGAAAGCAGGTGCTGAGGATGGGGAAGGAGGCGAGCCTGAGTGCGACAAAAAAGGCAACTTAATTGATTCTACAACTCATCAGTTTTGATTGAAATGAAATGAGCCTCTGTACGTTTGAAAAGGTTAAAACAAATTGAACATGGAAATCACAGCTTGTAACGTGGTGTTTTAATGAAGAGAACCTCTCTCCATCCCTCATTTCAGTGTGCTGTGTGTTGGCTGCAGTTTGACTGTTTTTCTGTGTGAGGGCGTGAAAACCGGCACCTAAGTTGTGTTCAGAACAGTTTTCATCAGATTGTTCTCTTCATAAACCAGGAATTAGGTATTAAAAATCATAGTTTTAGCAGAAGTAATAATATACAGTATATATAT